CACTTTCGAGGCAGCTGGTGGGTCCTGCGGAGTAAGGCACCGCGCGGATCTGAGCGAGACCTGGCCGTCCCTGGGGGGCTGCGGTCTGCGAAACCCTCGCCACTTTCGAGGGCTGCTGGTGGGTCCTGCGGAGTGAGGCACCGCGCGGATCTGAGCGAGACCTCGCCGTCCTTGGGGGGCTGCGATCTGCGAAACCGTCGCCTTTTCGAGGGCTGCTGGTGGGTCCTGCGGAGTGAGGCACCGCGCGGATCTGAGCGGGACCTCGCCGTCCCTGGGGGGCTGCTCTGCGAGCACTGCTCGCCACTTTCGAGGGCTGCTGGTGGGTCCTGCGGGGTGAGGCACCGCGCAGATCTGAGCGAGACCTGGCCGTCCCTGGGGGGCTGCGATCTGCGAAACTGTCGCCACTTTCGAGGGCTGCTGGTGGGTCCTGCGGAGTGGGGCACCGCGCGGATCTGAGCGAGACCTCGCCGTCCCTAGGGGGCTGCGATCTGCGAAGCTGTCGCCACTTTCGAGGGCTGCTGGTGGGTCCTGCGGAGTGAGGCACCGCGCAGATCTGAGCGAGACCTGGCCGTCCCTGGGGGGCTGCGATCTGCGAAGCTGTCGCCACTTTCGAGGGCTGCTGGTGGGTCCTGCGGAGTGGGGCACCGCGCGGATCTGAGCGAGACCTGGCCGTCCTTGGGGGGCTGCGGTCTGCGAAACTGTCGCCACTTTCGAGGGCTGCTGGGGGGTCCAGCGGAGTGAGGCACTGCGCGGATCTGAGCGAGACCTCGCCGTGCCCGGGGGGCTGCGGTCTGCGAAGCTGTCGCCACTTTCGAGGGTTGCTGGTGGGTCCTGCGGAGTGGGGCACCGCGCAGATCTGAGCGGGACCTCGCCGTCTCTGGGGGGTTGCGATCTGCGAAACTGTCGCCACTTTCGAGGGCTGCTGGTGTGGCCAGCATAGCGATCTGCGGAACTGTCGCCACTTTCGAATGCTGCTTGCGGGTCCAGCGCAGTGAGGCATTGCGCAGATCTGAGCGGGGCCTCGCCGTCCCTGGTGGGCTGCGATCTGCGAAGCTGTCGCCAATTTCGAGGGCTGCTGGTGGGTCCTGCGGAGTGAGGCACCGCGCAGATCTGAGCGGGACCTCGCCGTGCCTGGGGGGCTGCGGTCTGCGAAACTGTCGCCACTTTCGAGGGCTGCTGGTGGGTCGCGCAGATCTGAGCGGGGCCTCGCCGTCCTTGGGGGGGCTGCGATCTGCGAAACCGTCGCAACTTTCGAAGGCTGGTGGCGGGTTCAGCGGAACGAGGCACCATGCAGATCTGAGCGAGACATCGCAATCCTTGGGGGGCCTGCGAGCCTCACGAATGCCGCTCGCAGAAGTATATGCGCCCATGTCATGTCATCACCTCCGTATAACGTCTCCCAAGCTACTCATGCCCCGCATTGCGCAGGGGGTGGGTACGTCGCCAGGGTAATTAACCTGTTAAGCCCCCCCTCCCAGGGTCCCTTAACGGGTTCAGAATCGATTTTGAAGGGGTCTCGCCGCCAGGACCCCTCGGGGCACCAGCGCAGTCAGGGCTCAAATCGAGCTCTGACGTGCTGTGTTAGAGCTCCCAGGGAACTCTAACATGCTATGTTAGAGCTCCCACAGATTTCTAACATGGGATGTTAGAGCTCAAGTCGAAATCTAACATAGCATTTTAGATCTCACATCGAGATCTAACATACCATGTTAGATCTCAAGCCGCCGCGGCCGACGCCGTCGTCATCGTCGTCATCGTCGTCGTCGCCGCCGTCGTCGTCGTCGCCGTCGTCGTCGCCGCCGCCGCCAACTGTGGAAGGCCTTCAAGACATTGGTGTGCGGCGCACGGGCGAGAGCCGAACTTTGAAAACGACCCCCTCCGTTCACAGCGACGACGACGACGACGACGACCCCCTCCGTCAACGACGACGACGATGACGACGACGACGGCGGCGGCGGCGGCGGCGACGGCGGCGGCGGCGGCGGCGACGGCGACGGCGACGACCACGACGACGCTGTAGGACGGTCCGAGCTTCAAGGTCACAAGGGGTGGGGGGTCTCAGGCGAAGCGCCCGGCCCGCCCTGCTGAGGGACGCCCGGCGGCGTGGCGACGACGACGACGACGACGACGACGACGACGACGACGACGACGACGACGACGACGAGGGGGGGGAGGGGGAGGGGGAGGGGGAGGACGAGGAAGAGTAGGAGGAAGAGGCAGAATATCAGGAGGAGGAGGTGGAGGAGGAGGAGGAGGAGGAGGCGAAGGCAGACGAGAAGGATGAGGAGGCCAGGGAGAAAGAGGAGGAGGAGAAGGAGGAGGAGGAGAAGGAGGAATTCCGTCTTTCGCCCTCGTCGTCGTCGCCGTCGCCGTCGCCGTCGTCGTCGTCGTCGTCGTCGTCGTCGTCGTCACCATCAACATCAACATCACCATGCGGCACCGTGCCGTGGCAGCCCTCGGTACCGCGCTGTTGCATCCTTCGAATCGAGTTCGATTCAGGGCGGTTCGAAGTCGAATCGAATTCCACCAGCCCTCTGGGCGTAGGTGGTTTAGAGCGTTTCCTCTTCCAACCCCCTTCTTCCCCTTCGGGGAGGGGTTTACCCCTCCCCCTACCCCTCCCCTGGACCTGGACTGGGCGCCCCGCGGGTAGTTAGAGCGTCCAAGATGGCCCAAGACGGCTCCAAGAACGCCTCGGAGAGCCCAAGATGACCTCCGAGATGCCTCAAGATAGCCCAAGATGCCTCAAGATGGTTCCGATGATTCTCCAAGAGGCCCCAAGAACGCTCCAAGACGGCTCCAAGAGGCCTCCGAGACCTCCAAGGAGGCCCCCAAGAGGCCCAAATCCTTCAACAATCTAAAGAAAATACCTGGTTTGTGCCTTCTCGCCTTTTCGCTTCCGATGGCCATCCGAGGCCTCAAGATGGTTCCAAGATGGCCCAAGAGGGCCCCAAGAGAGCCCCAAGACGGCCCCAAGAGCGCCCAAGAGCGTCCCAAGAGGGGTCCAGGAGGCTATGTCGGGGCTCCCGAGGGGCAGGGCGATTTGAGGGATCCCCCTTCTTTGATCGATCTCCTCCAAGAGGCCCCCTCGAGGCTTCAAGAGGATCCCCGAGGCACCCAAGATGCCCCCAGACGCTCCAAGAGGCTTCAAAAAAGCTTCCAAGAGGCATTCGAGGAGGCTCTTACGGTAATCATGTTTATTGCTCCTCCTCCTCCTCCTCCTTCTCCTCCTCCTTCTCCTCCTTCTCCTCTTCCTTGTCAGCCTACTCCTCCTCCTCCCTCCTCTCGCCTCCCCCTCCCTCACCTCCTCCTGCTCCTTATCCATTTTCTCCTCCTCCCCCTTCCTCCTGCTCCTCCTCGCGGCGAGGACAGCGACGACAGAGACGACGACGACGGCGACGGCAAAGACGACGACGACAACGACGACGACGACGACGACGACGACGACGACGACGACGACGACGACGACGACGACGACGACGACGACGACGACGACGACGGCGGCGGCGGCGGCGGCGGCGGCGGTGGCGGCGGCGGCGGCGGCGGCGGCGGGCGGCGGGGGAGAGGGAGGGAGGTGGGAGGGGGAGGGTACTGCTGGTGGTGGTGGTGCTGCTGCTGCTGGTGCTGCTGGTGGTGTTGTTGGTTCTCGTGCTGTTGGTGCTGCTGCTGGTGCTGCTGCTGGTGCCGTTATTTCTGTTGGTGGTGGTGGTGATGCTGCTGCCGGTGCCGACGGTGAGATCGATAGTACGATCGATAGGGAGATAGACGGTGAGATCGATAGAGTGAGATCGATGGTGACATCGCTTGTGAGATGGGATCTCAATGTAAGATCTAACATGCTATGTCAGAGCTCCCTGGGAGCTCTAACATGGCATGTTTGACCTCCCGTCGAGCTCTAGCATATCATGTTAGAGCTCGACTTGAGGTATATCAGGAATTGAGATCCAACATGCTATGTTAGATTTCGATCTGAGCTCTAACATCACATGTTAGATTTCGTTTTGAGCTCTAACATCCTCTGTTAGAGCTCGATGGGAGCTTTAACATGCTATGTTAGAGCTCCCTGGGAGCTCTAACGTGCCATGTTAGAGCTCCCACTCTAACACAGCATGTTCGAGCTCCCAGGGGGGCTCTGGCATGGCATGTCACAGCTGCCAGGGAGCACTAAAAGAGCCTGCTAGAGCTCGATTTGAACACCAGCATAGCATTTTGGAGCTCGATGTGAGCTCTAACATGCTATGTTGCAGTGGGATGTTAGCTCATTGTATGTTCGATGCCGATGCTAGCTCTAACATGTGAGATTCGAGGCCTAACATGCAATGTTAGATCTCGATTTGAACTCTTGTTAGAGCTCGTTGTGAGCTCTAACATCACATGTTAGATTTCGTTTTGAGCTCTAACATAGCATGTTAGAGCTCGATTTGAGCTCTGACCCCGCGGGTGCCCCGAGGGGGCCTGGTGGCGAAACGCCTTCAACACCGATTTTCGGCGTGCTAAGGGCCCATGGGGGGGGGGCTTAACAGCGCCGTCGTCGTCGTCGTCGTCGTCGTCGTCGTCGTCGCCGTCGTCGTCGTCGTCGTCGTCGTCTTCGCCGTCGTCGTCGTCGTCGTCTCTGTCGTCGCTGTCCTCACCACGAGGAGGAGCAGGAGGAAGGGGGAGGAGGAGAAAATGGACAAGGAGCAGGAGGAGGTGAGAGAGGGGGAGGAGAGAGGAGGGAGGAGGAGGAGGAGGAGTAGGCTGACAAGGGGGAGGCCCTTGCCATCTGCCTTCCCCCGTCCTCCCCCGTCTGCCTCTGCCTTCCCCCGTCCATCATCACCATCATCATCGTGATCATCATGAGCATCATCATCTGATCGGGTAGCTCTCGGGTATGCATGCCGTGACGCTTATTGTTACCATTGCCATATCTTACTCAAGTTGAGAAACGGACATACCGTATATCATGGTAGCGCGGAGCAAGGTTGGTCGGCCTGCCTGCGATACCGCTGCGCATCTCTCCGCAGCGTCTGTGACGGACGCCAGCGCGGCCACAGAGGCCGCAGACGAGACTGGTTGGAAGCTAGTCCTCGGATCGCCGCTCGAGAGCTGGGCGATCATCGTGACGGACCTGCTGCGACTGGCGCTGCGCCGTACCAGGTGGCACTGCGAGGGCGAGGCTCTCAAGGCCATCAAGGCTCGCGGCCGCGAGGTCAACGACGAGTATGGACGAGGCCAGGTTCGCGCAGCTCGAGCAGGCACTCGCCCAGGCGCAGCAGCAGCAGCAGCAAGTCATCCAGCGGCTGGCAGCCCAGGCGGAGTCCGCCGAGGCCAGAGTGCAGGCGGCAGAGGCTATGGCTCAGGATGCCCGAGGTCAAGAGCAGCAGCAGCGAGCAGCTCAGCCTGGTGTCCCGCCGCAGGAGACAAACATATTGATTGACACACGGGTCCTCGGCAAGCCTAGTGACTTCAACGGCGAGCCTGGGACCTGGCGTGACTGGGGTACGATTTTCCGAGCCTATGCCAGCGCGTGCGAGCCAGCCCTGAAGGATGCCATGGACAGGGCTGAGCACGCCGACGCGCCAGTGCTGAACGCGACGCTGCCCGACGACCAGGTGCGCCTCAGCAGCCAGCTCTACTATATGTTGGTCATGCTGAACAAAGGGCTCTCGTTAGACCGCATTGTCAGTGCCGGAGTGAACGAGGGGCTGGAGGCGTGGAGGACCCTGGTCACCTTCCACGAGCCTCAGAGCCGCACCCGGGCAGCAGGGCTCCATCAGGAGCTGCTCTCGTGGGACTTCGAGGGTGACGCCCCCTCGAAGCTGATCGCGTTCGACAGGAATGCCAAGCGCTACGAGCAGGCTGTGGGCGCAGAGTTTCCCGACGAAATCAAGATAGGCGTCCTGGTCCGCTCGCTCAAGGAGGGCCCGCTGCGCCACCACTTGCTCCTCAACAGCCAGCGGCTGAACACCTGGGAGCTCGTGAAGGCCGAGGTCGAGAACCTCAGGCGGGCCCAGATTGCGACGACGGCGAGCACTGGCACAGGCCCGACCCCGATGGACGTCGACTCCCTGGCGCGACAGCTGGCCGCTCTCGGCTTCAAGGGTGGCAAGAACGGCAAGGGCGGCAACGGCAAGGGCAGGAACGGCAGGGCCGGCAAGGGCAAGGGCGCCGACGACCTGCCGACCAAGCCGCGCCCGATCTGTGGCAAGACAGGTCACTGGAAGCGAGACTGCCGGTGGAATACGACGGCTGCGTCAGGCAAGGCACCGCCGAAGGGCGGTGGAGGTCGAGGTCGCGGCAAAGGCAAGGGTGAAGCCAAGGGCGGTGACGGACCGAAGCCGAAGCCACGTTGGACTTGTGGTTCGACAGCGCATCTGGCCAAGGGCTGCCCGGTCGCCAAGAAGTCTGGCGCCCTGGGCGAGATGGGCGAGCCTGAGCCTCCTGAGGGCTTGGGTGGCCTCTTCCTGGCGGCGCTCGACCTGTCGGCCATGTCCTCGAGCTGTGAGACGGTGCGCTTCGGGATCGACTCAGGCGCGGCGGTCACGGCGATCCCGCGCGCGCTGGGGACCGACTACCCGATCGCGGAGAGGCCGTCGGGAGCGCAGTACCTCAGCGCGACGGGCGAGCCGATCCCAGACGAGGGCCAGCGCAAGCTCATGGTGCAGACTGGTGGTGCGCTGCGTGGCATCAGGGCCCGCGTCACGGGCGTCAGGCGGCCGCTGCTCTCGGTCTTCGACCTCGTGAAGAGCGGCCGCCGCGTGGTCTTCGAGCAGGACCAGCACGGCAACGACATCAGCCACGCTGTCCACATCGAGAGTGGCAAGACCGTCCGCTTCACGCGGAGGCAGCGCACCTGGGACCTGGACGTGAGCATCGTGCCAGCTACGGAGGTGAGCCAGATGTCCCAGACCCTCGTGCGGGAGCTGCCGCTCTGCTCGGTCGAGGGTTGCCGTGGCTGCAGCAAGCCACAGGATAGGAAGCGTTTGTGCCCTTTCGGGCGGCAGGCGCTGCCGTAAGACCGGCCATGATGGCGCCAGCAGTGGGACCTCCTGCGCTGCATGGCGTCGCTTCTGAGACAGGAGTGGTACCTCATGGAGTTGATGATGGACAAGTTGCGACCATCGAGAGTCACCTCGGCGCAGCCGCAGGTGATCCTGTCCCGCCAGGTGGAGCTGCCGTGGCAGGGGACGACGGAGTTGGAAGCACAATCGAGCTCGAGGGTGACGCCGAGGAGCGCCACGAATCTCAGCCCGCTCCAGTGCGAGCACGACGGGGGCCGAAGGAGCTTACCCAGGCTGAGATCGAGCAACACGAAGCAGCAGGTCACGTACCCTTCAGAGACTGGTGCTACTGCTGCTTGGCTGGGCGCGGCCGCGCCGATGGTCACCCAGCGGACGTTTGCAGTTGACTACGGATACCTCGTGAAGCGGGAGGAGGTGGAGTCGGGCCAGTCCGTGCTCCCCATCCTCGTCGGCATCGACTCAGCCACCTCGCGGGTCAGCGCCGACGTCCTCCCGTCCAAAGGCATCCAGCATGAGTGCAACGTGGTCCGCGCCTTCTGCCAGGTGGAGGCGACCGGCCACCCGAAGATCATTTACAAGTGCGATGGTGAGGGTGCCTTGGTGGCGCTCAAGCGAGAGGCGACGATCCGCCTCAGGAACCTGAAGTTCGAGGTCGTGCCCGAGGAGGCGCCGGCCTACGACAGCGCCAGCAACGGCCTGGCAGAGGTAGCAGTGAGGGAGGTCAAGGGCGTACCACGGTCTCGGCGAGTCGCCCTGTCCCTGCTGCGCGGCACAGACATCCCGAACGACCATCCAGTGTTGACTTGGCTGGTTGCTCACGCTGCAGGGTGTATCAATCGTGGCAAGATCGGCGCCGATGGACGGACGCCGCACGAGAGGCACAAGGGCAAGGCCTTCCGCAAGGTGCTGCCGCCTTTCGGTGAGATCATCGTGTTCCTCCCGGGTGCGAGGTGCGACACCAAGTTCGAGGAGCGCTGGAAGATTGGAGTCTTCCTGGGCGCCATCGAGAAGTCGAGCGAGATGCTCGTCGGCTACGACGGCAGGGTCGCACGTGCGCGGTCTATCAGAAAGAGGCCGCCGAGTCAGCGGGCTGATGCAGCCCTGTTGCTTTCGATCAGGGGCGCGCCATGGATGCCGACCCCGGACAAGCCAGAGAACGTTCGCATCCCGACGGTCATTGACGAACCCCCTGTCGACCCCGCTGCACAGCAGCCGAGGGTTGTGCCAGAGCAGGTTCCAGCTGAACCTCGGAACGTATACATTCGCAGGAGCGTGGAGCTGGCCAAGTACGGTTTCACAGACGGGTGCCCGGGCTGCCTCGCGGCCCGCACCAACGCGCCAGCCAAGGCCCACAGCTCGGAGTGCCGTGAGCGCATCCAGCAGGCCCTGGCGAACGACCCGGAGCTTGCCCCCCGAGTCTTCGGAGCGGCGGCTCGCCAGCTGGAGGCTGCTGACAGGGCGCCTGCGCGCCAGGAGGGCGCGCGCTCTAGGGCACTGCCTCAGGCAGCCAGCCCGGCCGAGGCGCCGATGGAGATCGCGTGACCTGGCCGACGAGCTGCTGAGCGTCGAGGCTCGCCCGCGGAGTTGCCGCAGGCATCGAGGCGCCGCCTCGCGGCGCCAGGCGGTCCAGCACCCCTCGCGCCAGCGATCAGCGGCGAGCAGCCGAGGGCGCCCGCGCAGGCGCCAGCCACGCCTCAGGCGCAGGCTGCTGGGTCGAGCGGGCTCCTCCAGGCGCCGCCTGGAGCTGGGGATGCCATGGGCGCGGACTCCCTGGAGCTCTGCGCGCTGCTGGCGGCTTTCGGCGACTGGAGGGTGGCCGTCAGCGAGCTGCACGGACCAGGACGGTTCACATCTCGGTCGAGTGCGTTCGACCTCGAGCCCGGCACAGCCTACGACACCAGGACCGGCTACGACTTCAGCCAGGAGGGCGACAGGCAGCGGGCGCAGGCCACCATAGAGCTGGAACAGCCCCTGCTGATCACTTGCAGCCCGATGTGTGCGCCGTGGTCGAACCTGCAGGCTCTCAACGTCATCCAGGGTGTGGACGTCAACGCCATCATGGAGCGAGGCGTTGCCCACCTGGTCTTCTGTGCCGAGCGCTACAAAGAGCAGATCAAGGCTGGCCGCCTTCTTGCACGAGCAGCCAGCATCATCGAGGAGTTGGCGTCTCTGGATGATCCGAGAGATCGCCGAGATGCCAGGAGTACACTACGTAGAGTGCGATCAATGTGCACATGGGTTGTGGTGCACCGATGCTGTCGGCCCGGCGCTGGTCAAGAAGCCCACGGGATGGTTGACCAACTCCGCCGAGATAGCCCGAGTGCTGACGCGTCGGTGTCCTGGGTGTGCTAGGCATTGCCAGACGGTCGGCTTAGGTCGGCGTGGCATGCGCATAATCGAGCGGTGCCCACCGAAGCTTGCAGCCATGGGCTGCGTCGTGAGGCGATTGCCCGCGGCCAGCTGGGTGCGCTGGAGGCCGGGCCGCACCTGGGCGAGCCACCGATCTGGGACGCCTACCCCGAGTACTACACGGAGATCGTTGACAACATCAGCGGGGCCGCTCTGGACCCCGAGCTCGCGGCAGCTGGCCGCAAGGGGGAGATGGAGTTTCTCCGCGGCCTGGGCGCCTACGTGCACGATGCCAAGCAGCGCTGCCGCGAGGAGACCGGGCGCGACCCGGTGCCCATGATCTGGGTGGACGTCAACAAGGGTGACGACCGCAAGCCCAACGTCCACTGCAGGCTGTGCGTGGCGGAGACACGCTACCGCACGAGCATGGACCTGGGGGGCCCCTCGCAGACGTTCAGTGCGACACCCCCGTATGAGGCTCTCAGGATGTTGATTTCCTTCTGCTTCTCGCCCAGGAACGCCGATGAGGACCAGCACGTCCTCATGTTCCTGGACATCACTAGAGCTCACCCGCGCTGCGAGATGAAGCGGAAGTTGTGGGTGAAGCTTCCTGCGGAGGATCCTCGCTCAGCTGACCCCAGCGTGTGTGGGGTGCTGGTCAGGTGCCTCTATGGTTGCCGCGACGCGGGTCAGAACTTCGAGCTGCTGGTCCGTGAGACGCTGGAGGGCAAGATGGGCTTCTCCTGTGGCGTGTGGTGTCCCTGCATATACCGCAGAGGCGACGGCGAGCTCGTGGCCTACGTCTACGGCGACAACTTCGTGCTGAAGGGCTCCCGCACCGACAACCTGGAGTTCTACCGCGAGCTGCAGGAGTACATGTGGGCCAAGCTCGAGGGCTTGTTGGGACCCAACAAGAGTGCTGGTGATGTTCAGGAGGCGGTCTGCCTGAACCGCGTCTTCCGCTGGACCTCGGGAGGCGATGTGGAGCTCGAGGCTGACTCCCGCCACGCGCTCATCATGATGCAGCAGCTGAACCTCTGGCGCGGGTCGAAGGCCCTCTCGACGCCAGGAGTGAAGGCCAAGAGCGTGGACCGTGACGGGGTCCTGGAGGGCGAGGAGGCGACTCGCTACCGCAGCCTGGTCATGCGAGCCAGCTATCTCAGTGAGGACCGCCCGGATATCAAGTACGCAGTCAAGGAAGCAGCGAAGTACATGCACGAGCCGTGTGAGCACGGCATGGAGCTAGTCAAGACGATTGCCAGGTATCTCCTGGGCCGTCCGAGGCTGGTTCAGAGATTCCGACGCCAGCGATGGTCGGGTGTGCTCAAGGGCTTCTCGGACAGCGACTTCGCTGGCTGCCAGGAGACCAGGAAGAGTACGAGCTGCGGAGTCTTCCAGCTGGGAGATCATGATCCGAGTCTTCAGTGCGACCCAAGGCAGTGAGGCTCTCAGCTCAGGTGAGGCCGAGTGGCGTGCTCTAGTGCACACTGCGTCCTGCGGGATCGGCCTGGTGTTGTTGGCGCGCGACATGGGATACGAGCTGGAGCTACGTTTGGCTGGCGACGCTACGGCCGCCAGTGGGATCGCGCATCGCCGAGGGGCAGGGCGCATCCGACACATCGAGACAAAGACTCTCTGGCTCCAGCGTCACGTAACCGAGCGTCGAGTCATCCTTTCCAAGACGCTCGGCAAAGTCAATGTGGCAGATCTCGGTACGAAGCATCTGGCGCAAAAGGAGCTGGATGAGATGCTGGGACTGCTGGGATTGTTCGCGGCTGCGGGCAAGTCTGACCTCTCTCTCGCGGTCGCAGGCAACTTGCTTGAGCCCGACCTAGCTTGCGAGCCCGAGGGCAAAGAAGAGGTGCAGGCGTGACTTTCGTTTGATGTCGCCCGTGGCAGGCGACTGTGTTTTCATGTACGCAGGCATGTTTCTTTGAGGTTGCATGTGGCGAGGCGTGCGAGTTTTCATTTCAGCTTCGCTGGAGCAACCCGGAGGTCGCCTGGGGCGAGTCCCGAGGGAGCTCGACGCGGCGGCGAGGAGGGCTGATCGGGTAGCTCTCGGATATGCATGCCGTGACGTTTATTGTTACCATTGTCATATCTTACTCAAGCTGAGAAACGGACATACCGTATATCACCATCACCACATAATGATGACGATGACGAGGAGATGATGATGGGTATGATGATGATGACGATGATGAGGAGATGGTGATGATCATAGCGATGACGAGGACGATGATGAGGATCATGACGACGATGATGATGATGATGGTGATGGTGATGGTGATGATGATGATGATGATTATGATAGTGATGCAGATGATGCAAAAACCGAGTGAGTCAGTTGAGCTCGAAAACCCCGCCCTGAAGACAGCCAGTATAGCCCTCTGGTCCTATAGCCCTATAGCTCCGTAGTTCTATAGTCCTATAGCCTTTCAGCCCTATTGACCTATAGCCCTATGGTCCTATAGCCCTATAACCCAAAGCCCCGAAACCCCATAGCCCCGCAGCCTTACAACCCAACAGCCCTATAGCCATATGGCCCTATAGCCCTATGGTCCTATAGCCCTAAAGCCCCATAGGTATATAGTCCTATAGCTTTTTAGTCTTATAGCACTATAGCCCTATAGACCTATAGCCCTATGGTCCTAAAACCTTATAACCCCAAAGCCCCGAAACCCCATAGGCCCGTAGCCTCATAGCCTTACAGCCCTAGAGCCCTATGGCCCGATAGCCCTATAGCCCTAGAGACCTATAGCCCTACGGCCCTATAGCCCCATATCCCCATAGCCCCATAGCCCTACAGCCCCATAGCCCTATCTATGGCCTTATAGCCCTGCAGCCCTGTAGACCTATAAGCCTATGGCCCTATAGCCCTATAGGCCTAAAAAGATTATGATTGGGGATTTTCTCCGGTATCTTTTAGGGGGAATTCGGCGGCCAGCGAGGGATGGAAATAAGATGGAGAAGGCTTTCTCAGAAGGCGGCGGGACTTCTGAGAAGTTCTCTGTGTCTTCAGGGAGGGTTTAGAAAACTCTTCAGAAGGCCAGCGGACTTCGAGCCTTCTGACAAGGCCCGCCCCTTCTCATTTCCCCCCCAGGCTCGCCGCCGACAAAGCCTTTCGGCGCTTTTTTTGTTTCTGATGTTTGGGAGGTATGGTGCCTGTAGCGCTCCGTCGGGGCCTTGGCCGGTGTACGCCGCCGCAAGACTTGCATGGTCTGAGGGGGCCGCCTTCATTCCCCATTCCTCCGCGGTCGCCGTCCTCCTGGAGAAGATTCGTCGTCGTCGTCGCTGTCGTCGTCGTTGCCGTCGTCGTCGTCGTCGTCGTCGTCGTCTTCGTCGTCGTCGTCGCCGCTGCCGTAGCCATTTTGGCTCAAGACCAATGCTTTGGCGGGCTGAGCCCGCATCGGCAAAACCGGACACCGCTAGTCCGCGGCAGCAACTTTCATCATTCACGGAGGTCCCTCGCTCCCCAGTGCGCGACCAGCGGCTCCCAGCGGTATGCGCAGCTGGGGCGAGGGGTTCGACAGCCTCCATCTCTCATCACCAGACATGGGGAAGCCTGGATATGTCAAGTGTGTGGCCTGCTCATACAACTGGGCATGGAAGGGCCGCGACAAGTGTTTCAGTTGTGGCAAGTCGATGGAGCTGGCCACCACACCATGGCGCAACGCTCAGCCGCAGGGAGTCTGGGAGACGCGGCTGCAGACGGTGCTTGACAACGAACGTGCTGATGAACGTAACGACGGATGGAAGCCATGGAGCGCCTGGCCGAAATCCAAGGGAAGCCGCCACCGCCAACAACAGCAACACTGGTCCAAGCCTACGGCGGCGGCAGATCCCAACGACACAGACTCCATCCTTGAGCTCCTCGACCAGAACCTCACGGCCGAGCGCCGCGAGGAGCTTGCGAAGTTCAAGGAAAAGATTATCCCGCCCAAGCCGATTGCGCCAGAGCCCCTCGACGCCAAGTACCAGAGGCTCTTGGCTGCAGAGAGGAAGGCCGCGGCGGCGCTTACCAAGGCGGCGACCTCAGAGGACAAAGCCAAGGCATGGGTGGTCGAGTGCGAGGCCCACACTTAGAGCTTTGCGGAGGCCCTGCGCGTCGCCCGTGACCAGGTCCAGGAGACCCTCGCGGCGATCAATGAGGCGCGCGGCAGGCCGACGCCACCCGCTTTCTCATCCACGGCGGGCGGCCTCAACCTCAGCAAGTTGCTCCTCAGCGGGGAAGACCTCGCGTTCGAGGAAGGCGAGGCCTTCGACACCTCAGACCTGGAGCTCGGCGCTGAGGACGCCCAGACGTGGGCCGACCTCAAGCATAAGTTCCTCGACGAGCTCAAGGAGAAGGTCAAGGAGGTATTCGGCGCAGGCGCCTCGGCCATCCAGCGGCGGAAGCAGGAGCTCGAGGCCATGCGCAGCAGGCTCAAAGCCAAGCGGCCACGCGCGGCCGCCGCAGGCGAGGGGGCCCCAGGCGGGAGTGCAGCGACGTCCCCAGGAGCGGCGCCATCGGCCCCACCCGCTGCGGCGCCTGCTGGCGATGGCGGTGGTCCTGGCGCTGGCGACGCGGGCCCAGCGCCAGCCTCAGCCGCAGCCGAGGCACCTCGACCAACGGAGGCAGGCAAGAGGCTTGCCGAAGAGGCTCGAGCGCGGGCCACAGCAGAGCGAGCATATCGAGCACAACAGAAGCAAGGCCTTTAGCCAGACAGACACACACCGCACGATCTACGTGCACAACATCACCGATTGGGGGCCCAAGTGCAAGAAGCTTGCGAGATCGCCTCCGCATCAGGCGGACATCATCGGACTCTGGAGACGCGCCAGGGCGAGCGCACCAGTGACACGGTGCTCGCAGAGTTTGACGCGGCAGCATGGAAGGCAGTGATATCGCCGTCGAGGGCCGACGGCAGCGTGCAGCACGCTGGAGGAGTGGTGCTCGGCGCCAGACGCCACCTCCAGTGTTTTCCCTTGGGCCACTTGGCCCGATGCCGAAACCAGGCTAGGGGCAGTTGCGCCACAGGAAGCCGGGGCCGCACTTCGTCGCGGGACCGATTGACTTCTGGGACTTCCAGGCGCTGACAATTCAGATGGAACATGGACAACTTACAGTAATCATCGTGTACCTCACCACGTCCATTGGCGCGGCGGGCCAGAACCTCATCAAGCTCCAGAACCTTGGGGCAATCAGCAAGAGCTTCACAGGAGATTGTATTGCCATAGGTGATTGGAACCCCATTCCTTCGGAGTTGGAAGCATCAGGTTGGGTCAGCTATGTGGACGAGCGCACTTGCAAGCCCTCCAATGTATCGTTCGCCCAGTTCACGGGAGGCCGACTCCTCGACTGCGCAGTCATCGGAGGCCCAGGCCACCATGTGCCCGCCAAGTTATTCGCAGATACTATGGGAGACCACAAGAGTCACATGGGCTTGGTAGCACAGTGCGCATCTCAGTCGGCGCCAGCATGGGCGCTGATACTTCCTACCCCGTTTTCTTTTTCACACCCTCCACCTGAGAAGATGGCGGCCGACCCGAACAGCAAGAAGTCTCGGGCTAAGCAAGAGGCCGAGCAGCGCAGGCTGGAGCGGATGCTGGACAATCCACTGGAGGCACTCGACCCCGACGCCAGCCAGACGATCTCCCAGCAGGACCCAGTGGGCGGCCCGCCCTTGCCCGCGCACGTGCGCGACCCGCCCATGCCCCCTGGCACAGAGCGGCAGCTGGCCCGCGCCGGGGGGAACAACGCCGCGCTGACCAGGGACATCAACCAGCAGCCGTCGCACGACCAGCTGCTAGGTTTTCCGTCCACGCCTCCCTGTCCATCCGTTCTTCGGCTCACGGTGGAGGACAAGAATGCCCTATGGAACAAGATTCAGAATCTCCCGATCAGATATGACTACCCCCACCATACATCTACGAGTCCATGGCGTACCAGTCCTCGTCCGAGGCAGCCGACGACCTGGGCAGGAGATACGCGCATTGGATTACTCAAGTGGAACAGTTTTACACCGAGTCGATACAGATACCAGCCGACGAGAGGCACAGGTACACCGGACGAGGCCATGCGAGAACACCCTCATTTATGCAGATCAGGGCCCCTCGAGCGGGCACTGGAGCGTGCACCGCCAACTTTGCCACGAGATGGCGGAGCACGATGGCTGCGTGCACACAGCCAGTGGCCAAGGCCCTTGCTCGCATGGGCACCGCACTATCGGAGGCTGGAGAGAACGCTGCTGACATCATCTACACTCACGCCCACTCGATGCCCGACGACAATCTGGTGCCCATCGACTCGGCCACCAAGCTCAAGTGGCAGCACGGCCTGGCAGCAGCGAGGCAATGGTCGGCCGAGCAGGCCACCACCATGGCATACGCGCTGGGGCCCTTGGCGGACAAATTCCAGAGGGCCGAGGTCCGCCAATGACTACAGGCCTTCCAGGAGTGGGTCGTCCAGTGCACGGCCAAGAAGCCCAGCAAGGTTTTCAAATGGAGCGTGGACTCGGCAGCAACCGTCATGGAATACGGGGTGGGCGCCGACGCCTCCACTGACCTCTACAGCATCCTGGAGGGCAAGCGCGGGGCCTGGGCCAAGCGGCAGAGCGGCGCAGTCACCCTCACCCAGCTGACGGACTTCCGTCGCAAGTGCCTGAGCCTGGCTGCCCATGGGGGCCCGTGGCAGCCCATCGACGCTTACGTTATCCACGACAAGGCCACTGTCTTACCCAACGCCACGGGCCGAGGGAGTGACAACACCGGGCCCCTGGACATTCGCAACCTGCCATTCCAAGCCAAGCAAGACCTGGCCGACTTTTACAACGAGTGCGAGCTACACATGGCGTGGCCGTGGCAGCTGATGAGCGCACTGGAGGGCATGGTCCCGAAGCCCGACGGCTCCGAGAGGGGTGTGGCTCTCATCCCCTGGGCGATGCGCTTCTGGGCCCAGATGCGCAAGGTGCTGGGGGCAAGCTGGTGCGCCGCCAAGGCTGGCCACTGGGACCAGACCATCAAGGGCAGCAGCGCCCTTTAGTGTGGCATCTTCCGCCTATTCTGTGACGAAGTTGACGACGAGCTGGACATCCACTACGCCAATGTGATGTGGGAATTCGCAGATTTCTATGACAGCGTCAACCCAGTCATGAATTTCTCTCTCAGGAAGGCCGGCATGGCAGCAGTGCTTTACACGTCGCCGAGGACGCTGCGCTCCCGAGGCGCCATCGCGGCACCCATCCAGCCGACAGGCTCGCTTCTCGCAGGAAACAGCGACGCCAATAATCTCGCCCGTGCTGTTTTATATGACCTTTTGGAGGAAATACACTGCCAATGTTTACCCAAAGGTGTTCGTTCGTACCAGTGGGTGGATGATTTCAACCAGCGCGCTGAAGGGCCGAAACACATCCTGACCACCCTCCTGGCCCAGGCGGCCGCCTTGTTTTATCGGTGTGCCCGCGACCTCGGCCCGGATACATCGGGGAAGTCTGGGGCGATCGGAACCGGCATCGATGCGGCCAAAGCAGCGCGCAATGAATTTAACAAGATGGTTCCCGAAGTAAAATTCAAGCCAAGCGCAGTCATGGCTGACCTAGGGCTCGAAAAGGGGTCCAAGCGGCAGCACAAAGTTAAGCGCAATAAGCGAGTCAGCCAGGCTTTTAGACAGCTGTCCAAGTTTCCCAAGATTTCCTGGTTCAGCCGCGTGCGCCTAGCCAGGCGCAAGCTTACCCTCATCTCCCCAGTGCCTCGCATCGCGCATGGAGCCATGGCTGCAGGCATGGCCCCGACCCAGGTTTTTAAGAGTGCAGCGCGCGGTCGCGGGGGCGCTTGGGGGTCGCAAGGCTGGACGCTGTCTGACTGCATACCTGGCGCTTGAGCTAGGTAACCGCAACCCAGGCATCGAACTAAGACTCCGCCAATTGCAGACCTGGTTTCAATTTATCACGCGTGAGAGAGACAGTGAGCATGTCCTCCCAAGACTCTCCAGGGCTTGGCCCAAGGTGGCCAACCGTGTCGCCCAGACGCCGAAGACCGACCGCTGGAGACACGCCAGAGGACCGATGTCTGGGGCGGTCGCGGTTCTTCTGGACGCGGGATGGACAGCCACTGGTCAGACTTATTTAACCTGGAGGTCCCCTGTCACTGACGATTGGTGGCAGCTTTTTCTCCAGGCAGGCGACATCGATTATGAACCCTTTCTTTGCGAATTCACCCAGAGCCTGTGGAGAAGCGTGGAAGCAAGCTAGCAAGCACTACTTGGGCGGAGGGCTGGAGGGTGGGGCGGGCCTCTTCTCCCTCCGTCAGTCCCTCCGCACTCTCGGCAAGATGGCATCCACGGCGGCTCCATGCATCAGAGGCAACGTTATGGCCATGGCCACGGGATCGACGTGGCCACGATCCCGATTGTTTGATGCCGGCATTTTTCGTGAAGCAGATTCGATTTGCGCTAGGTGTGATAGTAACCTCCCCGAGACTCCGTTTCACAGATCGCGGCAATGTAGCGCCAATCAGAGGCCGCCAGCATGCCACGAGACAGCCGACCTCGAACAAGAGGCGGCCGATGGCCACCATCAATACCCTTGCTTCTGGCTCCGAGGCCTCATCCCAAGCGAATGGGCGGCGGTCGATCCGCCATCCCACCAGTTTCAGCGTTGGCCTTGGCACTCCCAGCCAGCGGTTCCATCTCACCCCCAGCCAGGAAGCCAGTTCTGGGGGGCGGGGGGGGGGGGGCGGCTCTGGAGGAGCCAACGCCAAGGACCCCCGCCTCCGCAGCTGTGCATGGGCGCGCGCCCATCTTGCTGCTTGGTGTCAAGACCCGACCTGGGACCAGGCAGGAGCCATCAGTGGCCACGCGGGGAACCTCCCAGGGCCCAAGCAGTCAAGTAACCGAGCCGAGCTGCTAGCCTTGATATGCTGGCTGGAGGATATTATCCGTGTGTTTTGTTTACCGCCTGATGGCGAACTCCACTTTATCACCGATTCGGCGTGTGATATCCGTGGCGTGTGTCGTCCCGACACCAGCAAACCCAGGACCAATAGGGATCTTTGGAAGAGATTTCAGGCGGCCCGATGGGGTCGCCAAGCTTTTGTCGCCACAAAGTGGAGAGTCATGTTCCCGATGCCAGGCGGACCGAAATGAATATTCCCGAGCTTTGGCTACGGGCCAACAGGATTGTGGATGCCCAAGCAGACGAGGCAGCGAATAGATGTCAAGTTCACCCTGGCCAGGCTCAGAAGGTCAAGGACGTTGAAGCTAAGGCCGCCAGGGTTCGTAGACGATTGCGCACCGTTCTCGAGGACGTTCTGCAAGCAGACAGTGAAGCCAGGGCCCAGGTTGAGGGACTCCCGACCCTGGCCCAGCAAAACAAAGCGCCCCGCCCCAGCGTCATGCAGAGAGCGGTGGCGACCAGTGCACATGCTCAGACGATCGCCAAGAAGGGTAGACAGGGGGTCAAGGCCACCTGTTCGGTGTGTCTCGGTCGTGTCGGGGGCAGGGCCCGTGTCTTCAAATGGCTGTTGACCCCCTGTCACCCTGTTCATATCCCTGAGGGGGCTTTGCAACCCGCTGGCACAGTCCCCGAGGCCCACCAGAGGCTTCAGATCGGGGACCGATCACCTCACCAGTCGCACAATGTTTTCGCCCATGAGGAGGTCCCCATATTTTATTGTAGCAGTTGCGTTTATCTTTGTGCACGCGAGGGTGGAGCCCTCAGGAACCTCGCCGTGGAATGCCGTCCCCGAACGAAGGACGGCAGACATAACCTAGCGCAGATTGCCAAAGGCATTTGGCCAGGGAGTTCCAGAGCAGCTGCAGAATTCAACCAGAAGAGAGGCCTTCGCCCCACCAGGGCTAAGGCGAAGGCCCGTCGATAAACACATGACGAGCATTGCTCAGCAGAGGAATCAAACAACAACAGAAAAAATATCCCTGTGCGACCCTACCTAGGAGTTGGAACCACTAGGGAAGCATCATTAGTAGTAACAGTAACGCTAAGCTAACGCTAAGCTAAAGCTAAGCTAAAGCTAAGCTAAAGCTAAAGCTAAGCCACAGCTAAGCTAAAGCTAAGCCAAAACTAAGCTAAAGCTAAGCTAAAGCTAAGCTAAAGCTAAGCTGAAGCTGAGCAGCAACTAAGCTAAAGCTAAGCTAACGCTAAGCTAAAGCTAAGCTAAAGCTAAGCTAAATCTAAGCTAAAGCTAAGCTAAAGCTAAGCTAAAACTAAGCCCAAGCTAAGCCCAAGCTAAGCTAAAGCTAAGCTAAAGCTAAGCTAAACGCTAAGCGAAAAGCTACGCGAAAAACTAAGCGAAACGCTAAGCTAAAGCTAAGCTGCAGCTAAGCTAAAGCTAAAGCTAAAGCTCCCAGGGGACTGGGGGGAACCGCTCCCAGGGGACTGGGGGAACCGCCCGGGGCGATTTACACTGCCCGGCCCCTTTAAGCTAAGAGAGTAAGAACCCTTCTAGGCAGAGCCTAGGTAGGGAAAAAGTCGTCGTCGCCGCGGTTGTCGTCGTCGTCGTCGCTGTCGCCGTCGCCGTCGCCGTCGCCGTTGTCGTCGCCGTCGCCATCGCCGCAGCCACTCCCTCGTTCCTTTTGCAGTGCACTAGCGTGCTGCACAGTCGCCCTGTACCTGCACAGCTTCCTTGTCTGCGCGAGCGCCAGGTCCGCGACGAAACCATGGAGGGTTGCTTGTGCGACTGGGCCGTCTTTTGGATTCTGGAGGCCTCTGGGAACCTCCCGGGACCGTCGGGAGCTCCCAGAGCTTCCGTGGCATTTCTGAAGGCTCGTTTCTTAGACCAAGGATTTGTGCAGGCAAAGAATGGGCCTCGCTGGCGAAGGCTGAATCAATTGGCATGCCCTCCTCGACGCAAGCTGGCGGAAGCCGACAGAAGTAAATTGGTGGCGGCTCCGCGGGCGCAAGCAGAAGGAAGGCCGGCGAAGGCCAGCGGAAGTAAAATTCGGTTCAAGAGTGTTGTTCAGTTCAGGGTTTTTGGTGTCGGTCAGCTACCACCAAGCAGAGAGAAGCAGTGGCGGGGGAAAGGGGCAGCGAGAGGCAGACAGCGCGGCAGCGCCGAGGGTCGAGCAGCCAGAAGGCGAGACCAAAAAGCGGAAAAGGCAGCACAATCTCGGGAGTGCAGGAGCACGGGGCGCGGTCAAGACGGGCCACCCCCCTCAACCACCACCCAGTGCCAAAGGGGACAACCCGCGAAGAGCATCGCGAGTGAAGTCCAGGCCAATGGCTTTGTCGCAGTGAGGGTCCAGGGGCATCCAGAATTTCTGGAAGGACTCAGATACCCCATCGGATCCCTGGCATACCACTTGCGGCCACTTCAGGTTGAGCTGTTGGTGGAAGGCTTGCGCGGTGAGCTGGGTAAGCCTTTGCTCACGCCGTGTGCCAGACGCCGTCTGTGTCGAGGCCCCCCATATGGGGTGATTGCATCGCCCTTGGTTCGTTGACCCCTCAACCACCAAGGCAAGCGAAGGGAGTCCAGCAGCCAACAGGGTGGTGGGCGTCACCGTGGGACCCCCCTCCATGCACTAGTGCAAGATACCCGTATCCACGCCAGCCAGGCTCGCAATGTAGGAGGTTTCTTGGTTGGCGCCAGCCAGGAGTTCGTGCCCTCTGAGAAGTGCCCGAAGCCTTCCCCGAAGCAACAGACGGCTTCTCAGAGGGCGCGAGGGCCGCTGAGAAACCCCGACGCCTTCTGAGAATGCCCGCCCCTTTTCGCTTCCCTCGCGGGCTCGCTGCCGACGTTCCGCAGGTGCCATCTATACACCACCAGCGTGCCTGTCCAGGGCCATCCTGAGCTCCACGATGGTGCCCTTCTGGCCTCGGCCAGGAGGCGTATACATCATGCCAGGGCCCAGTATGACCCTGGCCAGGAAGGGCTGTGGTGTATACATACCTTCTGCGTAGACGTTCGTCCGACCCGAGCGCTCCCCCTCGAGAGGTGGAGGGCGGCCGAAGACGTCGACGGCCTGCTCGCCAACCCCGAGGCGCTGCGCGACGAGCGGGACGCCTTGGGGGGGGGGAGGGGGGGGCTCACCGCCTGGGGCGCGCGGGCTGCGGGCCCCGTCGGCTTTCAGAGCAGGGCGGCGAGGGAGGGAGAAGGGAGAAGGGAAAAGGAGGAGGAGGAGGAGGAGGAGAAGGAGGAGGAGGAGTAGGGAGACGGAGGCGGAGGATGCTGATGATGATGATGATGGTGGTGGTGATGATGATGATGATGATGATGATGATGATGATGATGATGATGATGATGATGATGATGATGATGATGATGATGATGATGACGGTGATGGTGATGGTGATGATGATGATGATGGTGATGATGGTGATGATGATGCTGATGATGATGGTGATGGTGATGATGATGATGATGATGATGATGATGGTGATGATGGTGATGATGGCGATGATGATGCTGATGATGATGGTGGTGATGATGATGATGATGATGATGATGATGATGATGATGATGATGATGATGATCAGACAAGATCAGGGCCCATGCAGTCCTCTAGAGCACACATTACTTAAACAGTGAGACCTTAGAACCCTAGAGGTCTACTACGCAGCCAACTGCGCAATTACTTCCAGACTGGATGCGGCCACGCTCTGCACATATGCAGCACTGGCCCCTAGGCTCAGGAGTCTCCCCCGGGCGCGCAGCTAGGGATTGGAGCTCTCAGCACCCAGGAGCCAGATTCTCCTCTCCTTCCACGACCCGGCCCCCCTCCCCGACTCCCGCCCCGATCTTTTCCTCTGGATGGTTGTTGCCTAGGCAGCAATATAACTGGCGTTCCTGGCATATCAGAAGCCCCGTAGCCCTGAACCTAAACGTGCTTGAAACAGCTCCGTCAAACACTTCTTGTGAGCTGGGCGCTCACTGCCTGCAAAAGCCGAATGCGCACGCGTGCCAACAGAGACGTGAGGCTGTCACATGCTGTCACCCCTGCACTACCTCCCTCTCCAATGGCCCCCTCGGAGCGGGCCCTGTGAGCATCTTCCCGCCCTCGGCCGCAATCACGATCCCCAGCGTGGCGACGAGACGGCCCAGCTCCGTGTGGCGGTCCAAGTTGGGAAAGATCGTGCTCTTGGGTTCGCTGGCCTCGGTCTTCTTCTGCGCCTTGGCGCAGCGCATCTTCACCACTTCGCCGAGCTCGCTCAGCGGAAAC